GACTGTTTTTGAACAGCTAAAATAACTGGAAGTGGCTGACACCGGAAACCTTAAGGTAAAAATGTCTCTTATGCTAAAGATAAGGTGAATAATGGATATGTAACAGCGTAAGAATTTTACAGAGCCTCTGAAACAACACTTTTGCACAAGCACTAGACACTTCATGTGCTTACACGTCACTGTGTTATGTAAATTATCATAGCTTCTGCTCAGAATTTTTCAATACAATATGGTGTGAAACAAGATTCTGACATACAGTGTTTCCATTAACAAAATATTAGGAAATGTCTGATGGTTGGATGCTGCAACTGCCGAATTTGAAAAAAGTGTTCCAGTTTTCATGCGCAACGTTTCTCGTGGATATGCTAAAGTCTCAGGGGTTCCCTTTCGAGATCGTTTCACTTGACATTGTGTCAGTAGCTGACGCTATAAGGGGAAGCGCTTGTGCGATGGGCGAAGCATCTGCTATTGCTATATAACACGGTGCTGGACCGTCATCACCTCAAAATCTTTCTCCTTCTAGCTATAGAATACGACTCTCACCGGTGATCTATGCCTTCAAGAGGATGATCCTCTGTTTTGCCGATCCCCTTCAGCGTTCCGGTGATGAGGAAGATTGCCCTGAAGGAATGTAATGTGTGTGGGGGTCCTATTCAACCCCCAGACTGACATGCATGAGGCATGCATCTTGTTCCTGGGCTGCACCCACACCGAGATGGCACTTGATGGATCCGGCTGTCAGCACTGTGAGGAGATGACAGTCGACCCTTGGGACAGGAAGCAGCAACAGGTGCCGAGGCTGATGGCCCACTTGTGCCATGACCCCTGGAGTCTCTATTATGCAGAGACTATCTTCACCCCTCCAACAAAGCCCACAAGCTGATCTCATTTGGCACCTCGGATGACGATGCAATGTCCACAATGGCCTCGGAGAAAGACGGGACACAGAACTGCTGCCCCCAAGAGACATGCACCTTTTTCCCCTGAGGCGCATGATGAGATCTCTCGGTCATGGTGGACCCCCCATTCAGCCTGGGCCCATGCTGGAGGAATTTCTCTTCTCTCAACTGTCCACAAAGCTGAGCCCTGAGGCTATGCCAAGCTGCTGCCCGTTGAGGAAGCCATTGCGGCCCACCTCAGCCCTTCATCCCGGGGCTGGAAGTCCAAGGCATTGCTTCCTTTCAAGCCATGTCAGACTACGGCCAACATAGCAGAGAAGGTGTCTTTGTCGCAGAAAGACAGGCAGCATCCGCCTTCATACAACTGTGGTGCTGCAAGTGCTACAGGCCAAGCTGCTCAAGAAGATGAAGTTCCAGATCTGAAGGTATTCAGGGAGCTATGCTTGTCTATGGACTCAGCTCGCTGGTATACCAAGGTGACTGCCCAAGCTATGGGCTGCAGCATGGAAAGCTTGGTGGTTGTGATCCACCACTTGTGGCTCACTCTCACGGAGATGAAAGAATCAGAAAAGATGGCTCTGTTAGATTCCCCTCTGAGTCCCCAAGGTCTCTTTGGTGATGCCGTGGGCTCGTTTTCTGAGAGGTTCTTGGAGGCTCAAAAGTAGTCCAAGGCCATAAGCCAACACTGCTTCCTCAGCTCCTTGGAAAAAGCTTGAGCCAGTGGTAAGACACAACATGTTGAGGCACTTCCCTAAGCAGATGGGACCACGCCCCAGCAAGTCCCTGAGAGGTGTAGCATGAGGAGGAAGGAGCTACGTGCAGATATTCGGGAAGGTGGCATGTTGGAGAGGCTGCTCATCTGTCCCCCTGCATGTTGGTAGCGACAGCGTAGAGTGTTTGAATGATCCCCGTAATAAACACTGCAATAAAAACAAAACCAAACATGGAAATCGACAGCATCTCCCCGCCTCAGAGCGGTGAGCCTTTTTGCTGTTCGTGGATGCGTGGCGCACTCTGCCAACCGCGTCTCGTTGGGTGGTGAGTATGATAGAAAAAGGCTATTCGCTTCAGTTTGCAAGCTGACCACCCCTGCTTCGCTGGGGGAATCAGCGATATCGGACCAGGAGACAGTGGTGCTCTGGACAGACATCCATTTGCCAAGGTGGCGTCCAGTCTCGAACGCTGAAGAGGCTGGCGGAGCGCCTCCTCTTGTGGGCCGATGCAAATCTTAACTCCATCCAGGCATTCTATGTCCCCGGTCACCTAAATTGTGGGGCGGACATGCCGTCCAGGGAGGGTGTAGTTCATGGAGAGTGGCGGCTGCATCCCCAGATGGTACAGCTAATTTGGAGCCTGTTCAGGGAGGCGGTGTTGAGCCTGGTGTGTCACAAAGGGTGATTAATACTATAGCAGAGGCTAGGGTCTCTTCTACCAGGTGCCTGTATGCTCATAAAAAGGAGGATGTTTGTGGATTGGTGCGAGACACATAATGAGGACCCAGTGACTTGCCATTTGTCGGTCATTTTATCTTTTCTGCAGGACTACTTGGACAGCGGGCACTCGCCTTCTACATTTAAGGTATATGTGGCTGGTATCGCATCATTCCATGCCTAGGTAGACCGATAATCAAACATAATTTAGTGACAGGCAAGATGACTATGAACAGAGGAGACAGACAACAGGTCAGATATGGGCATGTGCCAAAATGATACCAAGAAATATTTATTTTCTCATATGAACAGGTGTTTTCATTTGATTTTTTTTTACAATCTATGACAGTCGCGCGTGTTTGTCTCACTTTTTAAAATCCTCTAGCATTTTCCAAGAATGGACATGGTGGGGAAAAAGATTCCTTTTTTTATTGCTGAATGTTAAAAAAAAAATACACTTCCACTAACTTGAGGAAAACAAATCATCTGCTGCTTGTACCATGCACCCATCTAACCTTGACCACAAGGACATGCAGAGGTGAGGAGGTGTTTAGACATTTCAAGCGGGGGAAACGAAAAAGGTAGAAATAAACTGGCAGGACATAACCGTCAAGAGATTGAGTAGAGATATCACATTAAACTAACTAGAGCACTGTCTTTTTTTTGGCATTTCCCCAAACATACAAATAAGATCCAAAATGTAAGGAAGAAAGGTAGGGGATCTAAATGATTTCTCCTCAAACTTCAAACAAAACATCCCTTCATTTAAAATAAGAAAACATGATATTCTGTTGTGCTGTCATAATACAGCATTAAACCCCTTTTATCTGGACTTAACTTGTATATTGTTTTTTTTAACCAAAATAATCACAACTCATCTCTTTTATGGAAGGAAACCTATTTAGCACGCATCTGTCTAGTTATAATCTTCCTCTGTTATTTGGTGTCAATTTTCTGTTCCTAACCCAATGAACTTCACCTCCCTCAACACTATATTATTCTTTACATCTTCTCAATAAGGTGGAAAGCTGATGCTGACTGTGGACGCTCTTTGTAGAAGGTGAAGAGTTAAAAACAGCTGATTTCAGTACACTTCATCTCAGGCTTATCGACACTGACTGGTTGTTAATGTAGGAGTGTTTCCATCCAAACAGAGTCAGTCAGTGCAGCTGTTTCTGGTTTGGTTTGGGCCCAATGAGTGCTTTAAAATGGACATGGAGTTGCAAATGGAAAATAATGATAAAATAATAATTATAACGACCTGCACTATTTGGTGTCTTAGAGTAACTGTGAATATATTAAATAATTATGAAATATATGGACCTAATGAAAAAAACTGACCTGAAGTTAAAAAACAAAGGTAAACAAACAGCCTCAACATTACACACTAAAAATGAAATGCATTGGAACGCAAGTAGAATATAAAGTTTGCATATTTTGGCATTTTAATGACCCCTAATAATTTTCACAGCTATTTGTCTTGTCATTTGAGCCTGTGTTTGTGTGTGTACACGATTGTGTGTTCTGCACAGAAAAGTTTCAGGGTTGTTCACACAGGACACATTCTAATAAAAAAATAAAAAAAAACAGTTAAATGCTGCACAGAATTAACTGCACAGTCTCATAACCCAACCCATTGTTGCTAACTGTAAATATGCTTATCCCACCCCTGGATTAATTTGATTGGTCCATTATTTTCATTTTTAACTGATACTTATCCACTCTACTAAACTTGACACTACGTCTAAGAAATAAAACTATGTGTGTGTATATATACATATATATATATATACATATACATACACACACATTGTTTATTCTATTATTTAGAATAAGTGCACATATATACAATTCCAAAATTGCAATTTGTTTCTTTCTTTTTGAAATAGGCATCATATTTCAAGGGTAGCGCATTTATGATCACAAGTCGGAAATATAAAGTAGGAATATCCCACATCTGATGTCGAATGGAATGCCTCAAACAAAGCAAAAATAAAAAATTGCACAAGAACGTGTCTTGTGTGAACAGCCCCTTTACTCTTGCTGTCCCAATGTACCAGGACCAAACGATGGAGGGGACGCATCCGTCAGTCTGGTGTCAGTCTCTCTTCAGTCCTGCGCTAGATGAAGATGTGGAGTGGAATGAAGTCCTGAGACGCTGTGAGGCCTTCCATTCCTCCCGTCTATCTCTCCCGCTGGCCACTCTAACCGGATGGATGTGCTGATAATGAGGGCGACTCGACTGAGTGACGGGAAAGTGGGCTGAGTGGGAGAGACTATATGTTCTTTATTTCTTTGTTATCTGTCAAAAGCTATTAGCACTGACAGCCCGGCCCACGGCCCACTCACATTTAACCCACAATCCCCTTTGGAAAAAGAAGGCTCCTGTGTGACAAACCTTACCCTGTAGGGATGCAAAGCAAATCAAGGCAGTGCAACTGTAAGACGACATCAGTTGCCCACATGTGTAACTCTGGACAACAGCAGCATATTTCTCAGAGCCACAGTCATTCCGAGGCTTCTCGCTTTTGGTCGCTCACATTCACACACACGCACACACACACACTACTTTTTTCCGAACCCCCGGTTGCATTTGTCATTGATTTCCTGTTGGCAAAGCAACATGATCATAAACACATCTCTGTGGATCAAATTCATGTAAACATACACCTTATGTTAGAGTGGTTTATATTGCATGACGGTGGAGGGGGGATGTCACAGTTCAAATGGGGGTCAGCTCCCAAAAAACACAACCTTGAAAGGAAAGGAAAGGAAAGGAAAAAAAGGCCAAAAAGAGACAACAAAAGAGTAAACGAGTATAAAAAATGAGGCGTCCGTATAAGAAAGGCTACAAAAAACTCCACTGGCCCTCTGGCATCAGCATACAGCAAAAGGCACCACAATATTACTCTATTTTTTTTTTTTAAGTTGTGAAAAAATTGGCACATCTTTTTTATGCTGTAAATCAAAATGTACATATAAATAGAGTTTTCCCTATAAAAAAAGTCTTTGCTGTTAACTAGTAGACAACTTTTGCTAAAATGAAAATAAATATTTCATTTGTTTATAATATCTGTCAGTTATATAAAATAAAAATATTTCTTATAGGTGCATGTCTATAGTAGATCGGGTTTTTTTGTGGATAGGTGGTGGTCTCTCTAGTGGGGTGCATTGTCCAGTTTGGGGCGCGAGTGCGTCAGTCTGGTCTGTGTGTTGGCACGTGGCCCGTGCCGCCCGCTCTGGGCGTGAGAAGTCCGTGTGTCGGGCACGGGCCTGTAGAGGGCGGAGGGCTCGGCGGCGTTCATATTCTGCATACTGAGGAAGGGCGTGCTCTCACCTTCCTCCTCCTCCGAATCACTGTCCGACAGGCAGGTGCGTGAGCCCAAGTCCCGGGACGGTTGGTAGCCACGTGGCGCCACGTGGCCATTGAGTCTGGACCTGCGCCAGCGGCGACTGCTTCTCTTTGGTTGCTCCATGGAGGAGAGGTACTCCTGGGTGCTTTCGTACTCTTCCTCCTGAGCCAGCCGGTAGGGGCTGGAGGGAAGGCTGCCCGTGCTGTCCCGCAGGTAGCTGCCACGCTGCTGCTGCCGGTAGGGCTCGTGGCCCCGTGCCTCGTGCAGTGGCACCTGGTAGCGCCGCAGCAGCGGCTGGTCCTCCTCCGGGGGGTAGGGAGCGTGTGCGGCGGGGGGCAGAGACATGGCGTGGCTGGCGTTGGGAGACGTGATCTGGAAGGTAGGCACCTGCGGGGGCAGTGAGTAATGGAAGTCCACGGGAGACAGGTGAGCCGGCGTGGTCAATGCTGACACGTACCTGTGGCGAGAGAAGGACAGGGAGAGAGAGACAGAGAGAGGAAGAAGAGCGGGAGAAAAGAAGGTTGTGTGGAACAGATATGGACATCAGTCAATGGTTTTAAGTACAGATAACAGCAAAGGAACCCACCACAGAGAAAGAAGTTGGATTCAGGGATTCTCAACTTTTTGGGTCCAGAACTCTTTTTCCTTTTTTTTAACAGGTCTGACATTCACCCAAACAGAATTAAACTTTAGGATCTCACAAATAGCAAATCACATTCTAAAGACTAGATGCCTTTTCACTGGGCATTTTATCTCTGCTGTATATCTAAGTTGGATCTATAAATAATATACACAGTATATAAGTTTTTTTTTTAAAGAAGTCTCTTATGCTCACTAAGGCTGCATTTATGTGATCAAAAATACAGTGAAATAGCAATATTATTACAATTTGATATTTGATTTATTTTTTATATATTTTAAAATGTCATTTATACCTGTGATGGCAAAGCTGAATTTTCAGCATCATTACTCCATTCTTCAGTGTCACATGATCCTTCAGAAATCATTCTAATATATGCTAATTTGGTGCTAAAGAAACATTTATTATTATTAATGTTGAAAACAATTTGCTGCTTAATATTTTTGTGGAAGACATTATACATTTTTGCAAGATTCTTCGATTCTTGAAATATAAATCTTTTGTAACAATGAAAAAGTCTTTGCATATATGCTATTCTATAAAAAAAAAACCTGACCTCAAACTTTTGAACGGTTATGTATACACAATATATAGGCCAACAATTTATATATATTTTATTTTTAATACCGTAGTATGGATTCCTGCACATGACATGCGGGGAAAAAATCATGTAAATCATGCACACAATTTAGTAATTTGTACAAATTCTTAATTTGTGGCCACGATATACATATATTTTTGTCCGGATGTCTTGTGTGCGGGGCTCCGTACATTTGAACGAAAAGTTAAAACAATAGAAAGTAATATTTAAAATTTTAAGCACAAAATAATATAGACAGTAGGTCTAATTGTTGACTATTAAACGTATGCTAACAACATTAAAAATCACAAATAAGTTATATGCATTTCACAGAAATCTCCTGTGCCTGACCCCATGTGGGCGTCCTCAAGGTTGAGAACCTCTTTCAGAGTTCCCACGGTCATTGAAAACCTAGATTTTTAAAAATTGTGATTTTCAGGTCTGGAAAAATCATGAAATTCATTAAATCCTAAAAAAAAATGATGGGAATTTCTGAATATATATTTTTTATTTAAATACTGACTAGAAATTGCTTTTTGAGTGCAACCTCTCTAAAATGAATTCTTACTGCACTGTGAACAACATGGACAATTCACTCATCTAAAGGTGTGGGATCCCTGTTCTGTGTTAGCTGCTCATTCGCAGTGCTCCTGTCTTGTATTTGTGCAGAATTGCATCAATTTACGCCCACCTTGCTATGGCACTAGAAAAATGATAGTATGCACACTAAGACTCGGCGGCTGAAAGCTCAATAGCAAACGACAGCAGACATGCGTGCTACAGTAACAAATGAGGCCACGTCAAACCTCCCAGTCTAGGCTAAGCATTGTTACTGCAGCACGCCACCAGATGGATGACAAAGCTTGCCTTACAAGTTCCCTTCCGTTAGCGTGCATCATGCTACACTTAATCATGTAAGCGGGTAATTTTCCCTGATGCCTTTGACAGAAAAAAATAAAATAAAGTCGCTATCTGCGTTTGTTCCTTTGGCCTGTGCTGTGTGAGTTAAAGTGAGCGTGCCCTGAGAGTGGAGGCCACAGTCAAACCGGAGCAGATAAATTAACACTGGCTGCTCGGTCACAGTTTTTCGGAGCCTGAGGGCAGATAGCCGTATGCACAACAGCTCAGTCAGCTGCAGAGGAGGAGAGAAGGTAGAGAGGGAAATAGTGCAGAGCAGAACACCAGAGACCTGTTTCACCCCTGAGATAATGTGTTGTTCGGCTCTTGTTGACTTAATGAACCCCTCACGGTATAAATTCTCCTGTTTTGGCCCTTACATGGTGGTGTGGGCGTTTCGCAGGCGAGAGATAACTGTAAATACAGCTGGCCGTGGGCTAGATTCTCTCTGCCTTGATACAAATACTGCGTATCTGGAGCAGCGAAGCTTTGCTTGACCCTGACTCCCTCTCTGACATTCTCAGCTGGGCCAGAGCATCTGCACGATTTGCGCAATGAATTTTACTATTATATTCGTCATGGTACGCAGTGTGTGATTTTGTATAGTGAGTTTTGAGGGGTCAGCTTTCTTATCGGGAGAGGTTTTGATCAGATGCGCTAGTGGCACAAGAAACTAAATATGTGGATGTTTATTGATATGTGATATTTGTAAAAATATATTTATATGATAAAAAATATAAATATACATTATAATAATTAAAATGTATAATTAAAATGTATTTTTATTTTTGTATATTATATTATATATGTAAAATGAATATATATATATATATATAATAGAAATAATAAACTATAATAAAAAATGCTAAACAAGAAAAATATATAATGTGGTTATTACAATATATAATATATGTAATAAAGTATAATAGCATATTTAAATATTTATATTAAAATGTTTATATATATATACAATTGTAATATTACATTATATATAGGCTAATAAAATGTATGTGTGTATATATAATATTAAAATGTTATATTCTCACTCACACACACACACACACACACACACACACACACACACACACACACACACACACACACACACACACACACATATAACATTTTAATATTATATATATATATATATATATATATATACACTCACCTAAAGGATTATTAGGAACACCATACTAATACTGTGTTTGACCCCCTTTCGCCTTCAGAACTGCCTTAATTCTACGTGGCATTGATTCAACAAGGTGCTGAAAGCATTCTTTAGAAATGTTGGCCCATATTGATAGGATAGCATCTTGCAGTTGATGGAGATTTGTGGGATGCACATCCAGGGCACGAAGCTCCCGTTCCACCACATCCCAAAGATGCTCTATTGGGTTGAGATCTGGTGACTGTGGGGGCTATTTTAGTACAGTGAACTCATTGTCATGTTCAAGAAACCAATTTGAAATGATTCGAGCTTTGTGACATGGTGCATTATCCTGCTGGAAGTAGCCATCAGAGGATGGGTACATGGTGGCCATTAAGGGATGGACATGGTCAGAAACAATGCTCAGGTAGGCTGTGGCATTTAAACGATGCCCAATTGGCACTAAGGGGCCTAAAGTGTGCCAAGAAAACATCCCCCACACCATTACACCACCACCACCAGCCTGCACAGTGGTAACAAGGCATGATGGATCCATGTTCTCATTCTGTTTACGCCAAATTCTGACTCTAACATCTGAATGTCTCAACAGAAATCGAGACTCATCAGACCAGGCAACATTTTTCTAGTCTTCAACTGTCCAATTTTGGTGAGCTCTTGCAAATTGTAGCCTCTTTTTCCTATTTGTAGTGGAGATGAGTGGTACCCGGTGGGGTCTTCTGCTGTTGTAGCCCATCCGCCTCAAGGTTGTGCGTGTTGTGGCTTCACAAATGCTTTGCTGCATACCTCGGTTGTAACGAGTGGTTATTTCAGTCAAAGTTGCTCTTCTATCAGCTTGAATCAGTCGGCCCATTCTCTTCTGACCTCTAGCACCAACAAGGCATTTTCGCCCACAGGACTGCCGCATACTGGATGTTTTTCCCTTTTCACACCATTCTTTGTAAACCCTAGAAATGGTTGTGTGTGAAAACCCCAGTAACTGAGCAGATTGTGAAATACTCAGACCGGCCCGTCTAGCACCAACGACCATGCCACGCTCAAAATTGCTTAAATCACCTTTCTTTCCCATTCTGACATTCAGTTTGGAGTTCAGGAGATTGTCTTGACCAGGACCACACCCCTAAATGCATTGAAGCAACTGCCATGTGATTGGTTGATTAGATAATTGCATTAATGAGAAATTTAACAGGTGTTCCTAATAATCCTTTAGGTGAGTGTATATACACACACACATGCACATACATTTCATTATATATAATATAATATTAAATTTGTATATTCATATATACACACATATATACATATACATATATATATATATATATATATATATATATGACCCTGGACCACAAAACCAGTCACATGGGTCAATTTTCTGACATTGAGATTTATACATCATCTGAAAACTGAATAAATAATCTTTCCATTGATGTATGGTTTATTAGGATAGGACATTTAGGATATTTGGCCGAGATACAACCATTCAAAAATCTGGAATCTGAGGGTGCAAAAAAATCGAAACATTGAGAAATCGCCTTTAAAGTTCTCCATTTATGTTCGCGGTTGTGCTGCATTCACTCACAAAAATAAATGTTTGAAATATTTACGGTTGGAAATTTACAAAATATCTTCATGGAACGTGATCTTTACTTAATATCCCCATACAATGTATTGTTGGCTATAGCCACAAATATAACCGTGCTACTTGTGACTGGTTTTGTGATCCAGGGTCACATATTATATATTCTTGTTTAGAATTTTTTATTATAGTTAGCTCACTAGCTTTCTTTTATTTATCAACATTTATCAAATTATTTCAATTAAATTAAATTATATTAGACCACACCAAACCCTTCCAAACGACCCAAACCCCGATGGTACGTGCTGTGAAATTTGCTATCGAATCTTTCACGCCACCCGTGCCAATCTCCCGCGGTAAAGGAGACTATGCACTGAAATGCAGATGAGTCTTACTGCACACACTAAAATGGTTCTCGGTGCCATGGCTGCAGAGAGGGGGTGCTCCTGCGCACCTGTCGCTATGCGGAGAGTCCCCAAGCGAGTCGAAAGAGTCGCCGTACTGCAGGGCCGGCCGGTGGGGCTCAGTAAAGCCACAGTGTGCGGCACGTCTGGCCCGAGCCTCCATGCACGCAGGACTGTTGCATTTACTGGTCCCCACTGAGGACGACATCATGTCGGAAGGACAGTCGGAGAGGACGCTGTCTGTTCGCTCCAGACTCCACGTTCTCCCTTCATGTCTGAGAAAGACAGAAAGAGAGAAAAAGAATGAAAGAAAAGGGAAGGAAAGAAAGCAGGACAGAAAAAGCGCACAAGATGCTTAACCCAGTGGTTCTCAAAGTGTGGGGGGACGGGAGGCTAGTTCTTAGATGTCCTTTGTCTTCAAGACTCAGATTGCGACTCAGTCATGTGAACTACTTTCATGCTCATATGTGCTTTTTGGAGGAGGACAGTCAGTCACAATCCTCTCATGTTTCGTCTACGTTGGTGTTCCACAGATGAAAATACGAATTGGAAAAAGTATGATTTGGAACGACACCAAATCAGTGTTATTTTGTTATTTTTTATTTAAAAAATTTGGACTAGCTTTTATTTTTATATTTTAATTTTAGTTGAATTTTTAGTAATTTTGATATGTATATGTATATATATATATATATATATATATATTAGGGCTGTCAAAATAACGCGTTAATTTCGATTAATTAATCTGAGAAGAAATAACGCGTTAAAAAAAATAACGCAGATTAATCCATTGATCCGTTTTGACCTTTGTGGAGCCGTTCTAGCCGTAGCCACCATTCGTGTAAAAAGAATGAGGGAGACAAGAACGCGCTGCTTGGATCATTGTTTGGAACATTTACTTATAACAAACGGAGTTCGTCAACTCTAAAGTACCACATCAATGCAAAGCATCCAGGAGTGTGTGCGTGAGTCGGTGAGTGTGTCTGAGAGAAAGCGCGCTTGTGTGTGTGTGTGTGTTGTAACTTTTCACGCGCTCTCACGTCACACAACCATTTTCTCACGCACAGAAATATCGCGCACCAAAGAGAGGACACGGAAACAGACAAGACAGAGCACGTTACTTATGATATTTAAAAAAAATTTTAGCTCTAAGATTCTGTCAATTTTATTACGAAAATCAAACAATAAATACCGTTTTGGCGCTTGTAAATGTGACATGAGTCATGACAGATCCCATAGCGGCACGTGAACCGATCATCTCTAGCTAATAGTAAATAAACACGAATGACCAATGTTGAAAGATAAAGTAGGGCCGCCTAAAACTTACCGAAATGTATATTCCTCGATCAATCAGTGTTTTTCAACCGCGAAAAGAGGTCAATAAAACAGCTGGAGAACAATTATGTCACATAACATTTAGCCTAAGTTACCTCAGGAAAGCCATTTCATGACCATATAGCACGTTAGTTGGCTATAAAAAAAGAGCTATAGAGAGTATTTTTCTAAATTTATGTAGCCTACTACTATATTACATATGTATTATATTTTTACTTATATCAAAGTTGTTATTTGTAATAAACACGCATTATATTTAATTTGAGCTATTTTTAACTTTAAAAAACTTCCAGCTGATATGGCTCTCTTTATTTTTACAGCATTTTGTGAGATTTTTTTTTCTTGAGAAAAATGAATGCCTATCTTGTGTACCTATTTATCCAAATGAGTCAATATTGCATCAAATCACAAGAATTAAATTATATTGAAATCGTGAAATTTGTGTCAAGCAATAATAATAAAAACGTAGCTTACCAGAAATTGTACCATGTAAACATTGTAAGATTGTGTATGCGATTAATTTACATTAATTAATTACAGAGTATGTAATTAATTAGATTAAAAATTTTAATCGATTGACAGCCCTAATATATATTAATAGTTTAAAGGCAACATTTCAAATTTGTGTTTACTTAAAGTTTTTCACCTCATATTTACTAATAAAGTTTTATTTCAATGAACAAAAATGTTTCAGTTAATAAAGAAAACACTGCAAGGGTGGTGAATAAGTTATGGCAAAGGGCAACACAAACTTTAGATAATGTATATCCAGTGATGATAATTTCATTCTTTTTTTTCAAGTTTTAGGCAATTCATTATTCACAACAGTAAAAACTGACAAAGCACAGTTTTCGATGCATAACTGAAAAATTTACAAACTAAAAATGTCGTTTTCACAATAAAACCATAACATTGCTAATATTGCTAATTTGCTTTTTGACAAATTAACATCTTCCAAATAATTCCGCTTTATTCAAGAAGTATACATTTGGCAACAATATTTTGCAACAACACGGCTGATTGATAACGGAAAGTGAAAATGTTGGGGGGCACACAAAGGTTGTTTTTGTCATGACAGAACAAACGAGAACCACTAGTTTAACCCATATGTGTGTAAGAATCTGTTTGAAGCCCTGCGAGGTGATCATGGTGTATAACCTCTGAGCTTCTCTGCACTCACTCACTCACACCTGTGACTTGATTCTAAAAGGGGTGAATAATGGCTGCCTGACTCGGATTCCACACCTAGCGGGTGAAAATAAAGGGGGTGAAAAATGCTGAATGCGATAAAAGCAGACGTATGACATGGGCCATGACCCCTGGCTATGATGAATCCACACACAAATCCTCTGCTCATTTCTGGTCACACATGCCACGTTGTCAGGAATGTACCTGTGAGTGGAGGAATGAGCCCGGGTGGAGGAGTTGTGGGATCTGGAAGACTGCCGGCTGCCTGGAAAAGGTGCCTCTGCTCCGTGTCTAATGACCCTCTCAGTTGCCGGTACATTTTTGGAGATATACTGCGATTGAGAAAGAAAAAAAAAAGAGCCCTTTTGTTACCGACAGAAGATACTACATCACAACCAATCCCATTTATTAAGAAGAGTGACGTACATCTACCATGGGTATCTCCTCAGGGCCTGGGCCTGGGTGATTGGGTCCGTTGGCCAGGTTTCGGTTGGGATGATCCACATAAAGGTTCTGCCTCAGGTGATTGTGCATCTTCTTCCTCTGTTTCCTGGGGGGGAGGCTACAGTGAGGCAGTGTCACTCTCTCAGACATCGGCCCAGAATCACAACCATTACGTCACACTTAAAAGCTCACTACGGAACTAACGCTCAACGCCGCTGCTAGATTTAATGCTGATTTTAAGTGAAGTTCTATTTATTTATTTATTTACTGTATGGCGAAATATTAAACCAATTGCCATCTGCAAACAAATGATTTTTTCAAATGAAGTTTCAAAAATGCTGTCTTTCTTTAAAATACATTCCACTTGAACTGATATTTTATAATGTAATGTAAAATACATTTACTTAAATATGTTTAATTTTCTATAAACATTAGTTCAATTAATGCCAAAGCAAATGTTGTTTTACCATTTACCAAACCTTATTTTACTTTAATACAATACGGTAAAAAAAAAAATTGCGGTCAGTGAATGAATAGTTTAATAGGATGCATTAAATTGATTTTAAATGTCAGTAAAGACATTGTACAAAAATGTCTGTTTTAAAATAATTGATGTTCTTTTGAACTTTATATTTATCAAAAAAATCCTGTTTCTATTCATCGCAGTTTCCACAAAAATACGTTTTCAAGCTTGATAATAATAAGAAATGTTTGTTGAGCAGCAAATCAGCATATTATAATAATTTCTGAAGGATCATGTGACACTGAAGACTGGAGGAATGATGCTGAAAATGTCAGCATCACATCGTTATAGTTTCACAATATTACTGTTTTTACCTTTTTTTTTGCATCAAATAAATGCAACCTTGGAGAGCATGTTACCGACTATACTTTTAATCGATTTTAATAAAGTACTTGAATAATATGTGATTTGTGTTCAAATTGGTTTATTATTAGGATAAACCCCTTGAGATGTATCATCTCGTTTTCGAGGGATTTCAGTGCTGATAGAAATTTGTCATACAACTGAAATGGATACATTTTGAAAAAAAAAACCCCATCTTTTTGAGTACACCTTTTTACTGCTACAGTAAAAGATATATCATTTAATTTCTAAACTAAGTTTAAATCGACTCATACTTACTTGGTTTTGCAGTAGGCCACCACACAGACTATGCCCACCACCAAAAGAGCCACACAGATGCCGGTGATTGTCAGGACTCTCTTCTGATAGAGCTCCTCTGCCTCTGCGCACACACACACACACACACACACACACACACACAACAAAACCAGAGAACAACTATCAGTCTCGTTTAAAACTACAACTGGTTCTAAACTCTCTCGTAAACAGTCCCTACTGCGGCGGCGGTCCTCTTTCATTTCATAGTGTCTGAGATATATCATGTACAGCCCGGATTAACATGTTCTTCCTATCGGGCATTTAGCATGACTCAGATCCCGTACGCTCTCATTAACTGCGTGGATATGAGGATTAATCTTGGGATGGGAACGAGGCTCAGGCCTCAACATGGGCTCTAATGGACCAGCTCAGCAGTGGAAACTGCTTGCGCGAGGAATAATGCGTATCATTATCGTGGACGTGAGGGAAACGGGGCTGTCTGAACAATCTCCCAATGGGCACTGATGATCTCTGAGAGTCCATGGATGCCTTCCTCCACTGGGGGGCATCGTAATTCAGCTCAATTTACAAGCTCAAACCGCATTTCAAGAGGACAATTGAAATGTGGATGAATATACGGGGCAAATTGGTTTAAGAGGTGATTGCATGGAGGCACAGATATAATCATCAGGGTCTTTGTTTGGCTTGGTCAGTTATAGTTTATGTATTCATAACCAGTCAAAGCATGGATTCTTAGCAAGCTTTCAAAGGCATATTTTGGATACAGTGCAAGTTAAGCTTATTAGACAGCATTTGTGGTATAATGTTGATTAGCACAAAAAAAAAATCTTCCTTTTCTTTAAAAAAAAAGGCAAAAATCTCTACAATGAGGACATTCGCAAAATAACGGAATGGGGTTTATTACATTTTTTGAACATTAAAATATTCACTCTTTCAATAGCATGGTCCCATGATCAAAACATTAACATGATTTTGATTTCATGAATTACTAAACCATTTCTATGTAAACTTTGTTGCCATGATAACATGCCATAATCCATTATCTGACTGCAGAAATGATTTAAACAGTTTCACAGCTCAAATAATACATTTACGTTTTAACTAAAGAATTAATGTAAGCCTTTAATTTCTGCTTTTAAATCCTCCCCATTTACTTCCATTGTAAGTGCCACACAGCAACCTTCTTTTTTTTCTTCTTTTTTTTTTGGAAAACAAGGGATGGATTATTTTTGGTGGTAATCAACATTATGCCACACATGCTGTAGATCGAGCATAACTTCTTATAAAACACACTGAATGTTTGGTACAATTTAAAAGGACATGTTTTTCAAATATCAAACCACAGCCTTCTGCTTTTCCCTTGGAAATGGGCCTTGGTTTGGTCTCACAGACATTCCAAAAGGAAGAGAATGTGTGTCCGAGAGGGATGGGGGCTAGTTAGGGGAGAAATATTTCATAATCAATAATGAAATAATCCAGCTGTCGTTCGCTCAGAGCGAGGAGGAGGACATTATTTCTGAAGGGCCTCATCTGTGCTAGTAGGAACAGAGCTGAGTATGTGATTTAAGCACACAACGTGACTTCCTAGAGGGCCTAGTTTACACGTACCATAAAATGGATCATTTTCATGGAAAAACAGAGGCTGTTTTTGTAAGCAAAGAACAGACGATTGGGAGAGGTCATATAAACAACCTAATTATGGTACTAATGCAGTTTGGCATGCTAGGGCACTGGGATTCAGTTTGTCCAAGCCTGATAAAATTAAGAACAGAAAACAAAAAAGAAACTGCATTTCATTTGAACCCTCATCAAATACAGATGCAGAAATCACACTGGTGAAGCAGAAGAATGGTAAAGTAGCGTGCAAGGATAGAAGTAAAAGGGGAAAAAATAATTCAGCAAAGACAACGGGAAAGAGGCCAGATGGAACAGGGAGAAGAACTTAGATTAGAATAAGGGGAGACAATGAAAGTAAAGGAACTATTTTGTTTGAGAAAGGGGACTCTTATCTGCAGCACTCATCCATATTGTGTTGAAGGTCAAGTCAGCATGATCAACTGGGCAATAAAAGACCATCTGGAGAAATTATAGCATCCATCCATCCATCCATCCATCTATAATACAATTACTAAATTATATTCTCTGAAAGTCTTAATGTTACATAATTTTATTGATGTTTTTTTGTAGTGTCAAGTGGGAAACCCAAAGAGTTCGCTGGAAATCCTGAAAGTGCGTGCGTAAGGGAAAATGAACTCTTCAACGTGAGCCAAGGCTTTCAAGGTATAACATAATTCGATTCAATGTTAGTACTACTCCAGTGCACATAAATTTACTTGAAGCTACACACTTGTTATGTTTACTGTTCAGTAAATACAAGGTTGGTGTGTAAACTGACAGAGGTTTACACAAATCACCCCCGCATAATGCTCACTCCTTAAGAACCTGAGACTAGTTGCATACACTTGAAGAAATCTGTGTACATCTTCAAGCTGATTACAAAAAACTGACTCATTTGCCGACTCTTTATGTCGTTCCAACCAATTCAACAAAATATATGGTTGTCAAAAGTCCTACGTAAAACTTGAACTAACTACGCACACTGTTAAATGCTCACAGTAAAACTTTTTGGCAACGTTTCTTGGGCTGATAGAAAATTTACGGCTAATTTTAAAAGAGTGAGCGGACTGAAACTTCTTAGGCTTTGTTCACATTGCACACAAATCCAATTTAGTTATCGAATCTGATCTTTTGGAATTTTTTTTAAGGGATAAAATTGGATCCATTTGTTCAAATAGTGATAGTTAATATCATCTATATGTGCATTGGTTGCCAAAGACTTTCCTTTAAAACAATTAAGAGTATAATGTCAGGCATTTGATGCGCCCGAAATCACTTATTTGTTCACTCATTCCTGTATAATGAATGCCACATAGTTTACTATATGAGGAAAGAATAAAAATGAACATCTTGAACATGACTAAACTCAATATTGTGCACTTTGTATGATGTTACATGTGCGTCATGTCACGAAAGACAGAAAAATATAGACATTTGAACTCTGGTATCGTTCAGACTCAAATTTTTTTCTCCAAAAATCAGATTTTAGATCATATATGGATGTTTATAAACATCAGATTCATGTTGTTTTTTTACTAAACGGATGAGATTTGGATTTTTTCTGCCTGTCTGAACAAAGCCTTAAAATCCTTCTGTGACGAGACGAGGGCTGCAGATAATGATCCCCATGCTAACTCTTGGAAAGAGGAGCTACTATACAGAGCAACGGCTGATTGACAGATTTATTTCTTAATCAATTTGTTCATTTGCTTTAGAGTCCATTAGAGAGAGGCTATGGAGGTGTGTCAAATGGAATGAGAGCTACACAGTTCAATCTGGAAAACGGAATGAAGGATTGGTCCATACCCATAAATTCAATCCCAAGAGATTCTGCCAGTGCAAAGAGTTGATAACGAAGAGCAAAAACAAAAACAGAGAGAGAGAGACAGAGAGGAAAAACAAGAACAAGATTTAGGAGATAGATATCCCACCATACACAGGAACACATATTGGCATAATGAAAGTCATATCAAGACACATCATGCAGATACTATAATGTGAAAAAGTATAAGTGGTTAGATAATGCAGGTTAGAGCACATATGAATGGGTTTCTTGAAAACAGATCTGGATTAATGGGTAAGAGAAAATAATAAAGAAGGATTATTATCAAAATCATCAAACTAGTAGTTTATTTCGGTATTTATTGCATGGATTAGGATCTGAGATTTTGAAACGAGCAGCTAGGTTAGTAGATTTTATTTTATGAATTCATGTCATTGTGGGGTAATGTCAGGGCGCATTGTTAGACACTTTAATTTATGTTATTTTAGGGGTGTTATTTCATCTCTATCATTAATGTAATTATTGTTATACAGCAAGTATGCAGGAATGCAAGTAAACGGATATACATTCAAGTGCTCATTAAGTTTCACAATTCAAATATCTCTGATGGGTCTTACCTGTGGGGCACACAGACAGCTGATATTATTCATAAAAAAACAATTTGATGCATGTTTGTTTATGTTAATTGTTAATGACAAGATGCTATTTGCACTTTGGGATGTTATATTAGTAAAACATGCGCTGTGCAACAAATATCATGGCTAGACAAATCAATTTAGGTGTTTTTATATAAGAGCTGCGTGATTAATCGTTAAAAGATCGATTCAAACCCACACCCATGTGATCTCATTCCTAAATGAAAACGATTCTCCTGTGGTTATTAAACCTTTCGATCACAGTGAATATTCAGATCTGGTTGGCGCTGCTGCTGAGCCAGAGAGAGAAGTTGTCATTTGAAACACAGTATCATTATTTCTGTGTTAACTTACTGGGATAAAAGTTTGTAGTTCGGATATAAACACGTCTACCATAGAGATAAAAAAAAAAGTAATTTGGCACTTAAATAACGATTGCATTGATTACATCGTTACACCAGTAGGTGGCGACAAATGATGGTTAAAAAATCTATTTGTCAATGAATCATTCATTACAGCTCATTCAAGAGATTTGTTCAAAAACGCTGATTAATCTAGTAATGAAACAAGTGATGCGTTTATGAGTGAGTCGTTGAATCATTCATTCAACTTTTTTTTTAAACAATTTGTCAGAACCGCTAGTAAATTACATGCTTTTTTTGTTGCTTTTTCAGAATTATGGGTGAATCGCGATCGCTTTTTGAAACCAAAAAAAAACGTGATTCTCAATTTATCCAGAGTCGTGCAGCTATATTTTATATTATCTGCAGTCTGGATTGATTGCATAGATTATAGAACACAAGACACAAATGCAGTCATCGTGGTTTTAATTGGGGAAGTCTGCGTGTCATAACTGGTGGTGTACTGTAGCTGATAATGGCATCAAAATATGTTCTTACACAAAGGGCCCCTGGGATCAAGATAATTCGATTATTTGAATTAATGGATGAGCGATGAGCACTTTTCTGGGCAGCTAACATGCCTAATATTAGCTGCAGGAAATTCCCACTGTTGTCATGACAACATACTTTCACAGGCTTGATAGAGGTGGAACAGATGCCTAAGCGATCGTCAGGTAGAGATACGCTTTTTTTTTTTTGCATTATAAAATAAAAAAGAAACAAAAACCAAAACAAAGAGAACAAAATTATTATTATTCCAGATGCCTTATATATAAAGACCCATTTACACTTTAAAAAAAAAAAAAAAAAAAAATTATTTATGGAACTCATCTGCCCATTCACTTTGCTAGTATGGTAAAAAAAAAAAAAGTAGCTTGGACATTCTTTAAAATCTATTCTTTTGTGTTAGAATTTCATGAGAGTGAGTCAGTTTTATATTTTTGGTGAACTATTCCAGAGTAAATAAAAAAAAAAAGACAAAAAAACCCAAACATTTTATTTAAAAAATAAATAAATAGATATATTCTGTCAAATTTCTCAGGGATCCTATAGTCTAAAATCCCCTGGGCTGTTGCAGTGCTTCTGCCAGAGAATATTTTAGTTCTCTATAACTCTAATTGGTAGAGCGATAACAATTCTCTCAACAGCGAGTTGAACAGAAAGTGACAGAAAATCACTTTCTCTCAGGGAGGACAGCTTTGAGGACACGTCTGCCCTCGTGCACGACCTCCAACCTGAAAATTACAGCTGGGCGTTACATGAATAGAAATGACATTTTGTCAGATGTTCTCTGCGATGGGAAACACCTTCATTTCTCTCTTCTACCCATGCTCCCTGGTGCCAAAGCCATTTTTTTCCCTCACTCTGCTTGTATGTACACGCACCTATTGTGCTACATTTATGCTCTATCCATTTCCTCCGGTCTAAAAGCCTCAATACCTGCACTGTTTCAACATCTGATGTTGACAGACAACCATTTCCAGACCTCCCAAATTGAACAGCGCTACAAAGTACGGAAAGGAAGCCTGGTTGTTGACTGTTTTTAAAGCTATAACAATCCACACGCGCAAAGATCCGAGCGCTTTCCTGATATAGGTTGATAAATCATGACCTGACATTACATGACACAGGTAGAGCATGTGTCAAATGATCATTTTTCTTGTTTTGCACCACTTTGTGTACACGTCATAACCGATTCCTTTTTATATGGTGTGGAAATCTATTCCGTTCTACATGCAACTTTGTAGGCATTCCATCTGCGGTTCATTTTGTTAACATCAATCTTTCATGCTGTACTTCCTGTCTTTTTAAAAGCGACTAAATATATGTTGAGATTTAAGGTCATGGTAAAATGTAAACAGAGGCAGCAGAGCAACACCATCGAGAGCACAAAGGCCTGATTATACACACTATGCGGACTCAATAGCTCACAGGCATGAGCTGTCAGGTGTAGTGATCCCTGCGCCTCCCTCTAATCTAGGTGTTATTCTGTAGTTGATGGGCATGTGCGGTGGAGACGCCGAGGTGTAGCCTTATACGGTTAAAATGCGTCTCCTCGGGGCAGTGGAGCTGTTTAATTTCACAGCATAATTAAGGGGTGGATTTTTGAACTGTGAGGGGATTTGTGACAGGATTGTTCGAGGGAAACAATGGCTGTACTTTGCAAGCCGCTCGTTTTACACCGCACTCGCTTGTGAAACTACAGAACGATGCATTATATACAAATTACTACAACAATCTGTCTATAAACTCAAAATATATATATCTTTTTTAACTTTGAACTAATGATGGCAGCATATTACGGTACTAAATCTATGCAATTATGAAATTGCAGACTCAATAATAATTTGAAATACATTTACTATACAATTTTTTTGCATTTATGCATTTGAAAGATGCTTTATGCATTTTATTGCATTCAAGGATTGACCGTTCATATATTCCCTGAGAATCAAACCCAAGATCTTGCCGTTGCTAGCCTTATGCTCCACTGTTTGGACCATAGGAACTAGTGATGCATTAATATAAAAATGATGGCCGATAACTATTTATATGTTTTGGCCGATAAATTATTAAACACTAAAAACTAAAATTGATCATTTTAATTCTACATGTTGTGAAGGGGTCACAATGTTATAATGCACAGAATGACAAATGGATATTCATTTTAAGCTTTACTAATGAACATTTCAATTATTAGTGCTTTTAAAGATTGAATTGTAAATGTAATCTAAATCTAATCCAATATTAACAGATACTGATAAATAAAACATACATAACCAACATGGCACTGATATATTGTGTTAATATGAAGGTTTATTTTTTGTTATGGACATTTTATAAAAAAAAAGTCATTTCGTAATAGCTATTGTGCATTTTTATATCTAAATTATTAGCTGACCAGTCACATGTTTGTGACATCTTCTATAGCATGTGTTTATGGTTAGTAAATTGACAGCAACTATATTTCTGTCGTATATGTTAAGGAATGATGCAGCATCTTGGTGGTGTTTTATTGCCATTATGATTACGGTTCAATTTATTAAAGAACATGCATCATAACTGAAAACATGCATCATTGATCATGTTAAGAGGTAATGTAATGTAGAATCAATTAACCAGTGATGCAGGGGGTAAATGAGACACTGGACCAAATAAAACTCAATAATTGTAAAAAAAAATAAAAAAAATGGATTTGTTAGAACAGGAAGTAGATTAATAACCATTACAGAACCACATTCCACATCTCCGGTTTAGCATGCAAACCGGACAGACAGACAGAAGAAGAAATGGACATACGGTAGAAACTGGCCATAACGTAGGTTTGACAGCGATCACCAGTAAAGTCATTTGGACACCTGATGAAAAGAGACAAAACCATAGAGAGAGAGAGAGAGAGAGAGAGAGAGAGGGGGGGAGGGGGGGTTGGAGAGTGTCGAGCAGACAGAAAAAATGCAAGATAAAAAGGAAAGGGTGAAAGCAAGAGAGAGAGAGAGAGAGAGAGGGGAAAAGAAAGCAGAGAGAACATTAGGACAATAGCACAATTATGTACAGCAGAAGCAGAGGATCCCACTGGAGGAACCACTGTGTCTATTTCAGGACAGACTTAAGCCAGCAAGCCTTGGGAGGCGGAAGGAGGTAAAGGAGAGACAACAGTGGTAACCCAGTGACAGCCGGTCCTCTGTTTGCTGCTGTGCATCTCAAGTCAACATACTTTTATTAGGTTTGGGCATGTATAACCGCTTGGGCTCTGTCTGCAAGCACCGCTGGCCGAAGTATCCATCCGGACATCTGGGGGAAGGAGAGGTGATGAAATACAGATATACACCAAACACACACAGAGGATATTATACACAGCGATGTCAGAAACACATCCACACAAACATCGGATGGTCAGCCGATTATCCAGCGATCATTTGTTTAAGAAGAACACTTTGTGAATGAATTGAGTCTTGTTTTCTAAGTATCTATCAACCATTCTTAAAATAAGATGATTTTACAGTATAATATTTTAAGATTTAGTTTTTCAGAGAATTTATCTTGAATTTACACTATTAGTTTTTGTTAAAAATGTTGTTAAATAGTTTGATGTTAAATGTTTTTTTAAAGAAGTCACCTAGGTAGCATGTCTTTGTACAGTACAATTGTGTAAAAAATGTATAGTAAACACTATTTAAAATGTCCAATTTAAAATGACTGCCTTATTTGAATATATTTCAAAATGTATGATTTACTGAGAAAGCAAAAGTGAATTTTCTTTGGAAACCATGATACATTTTTCTTTTCAATAGAAAGTTCGAAAGAACAACATTTATTTGACATAGAATTTTTTTTTTTTAATAATCTCAAAGTCTTTACACTGTAAAACATATTTTCATGATTTGTTATTATACAATTTTTTTTTTTTTGTCAAATCAACTTAGATAATTATTGTGGTTCAGATAACATAATGTGTTTGAGTTTATGTTGTTATTAAACCAATCTCATTCATTGTTTTACCTCCATTTTTTAATTTCAATGAACTCAAAATTAAGGCAACTAGGTAACTTACTTTTCTAAGTTAAACCAACCATATTTTTTTGCTGTCACTTTTAATCAATAATGAATAAAAGTATTAATTTCTTAATTTTTTTAAGTAATTTAACTGACCACAAACCTTTGAACAGTTTGCTAAGATATATTCTCTGAAAACAAGTTATTTGTCTTTGCAAGCATAAATAAAAAAAAACATTGAAGTGATAAACAAAATGTAATTCAACATATTTAACTAATTTTGATTAAAGATATATTCATTGAAAGCTAATCTCTTTTTAAAATTATTACACAACTTTCTCAAGAAATGTATCTTGTTCTCTGGAAAACATTCAGCAAACACCAACATCTTAAGCTGTCTCTGAGCCTATAAGCAGCACATCTCTAATATGGTCGCCTGATTATGACATGGCTCTCATTCATGAGTTTGATTGGCCAATTATGCTTATTCATGTCATTCCAGTAAACAGATTATGCCTCATCAGTGCGCAATGAGCGATATGAGGGTAATGTTTTCACAGTGTTAATTCCTCTAACTCAGTAAACTGCTCTAGTCAGCGATCAATCACTGATGAGTGGCCACCTTCAATTTTCAGGACAAACAGAAATCGTGCGCGAGTGTTATCTTCCGTCACCAGCTCATCTTCTGAACGCCGCCCGTCTCCCTGCACATCCCACGCTGCCCCGCCAGAGGCTCAAAATGATTCGTTTTCCAGTAAAATCTCAGCATCCTCAAAACATGTCCATTTACTTGGGAAGCATTAAAGACTTGTTTTCAGAGAATATGACTTTGTACCCTGCTGGCAAATCGTTTTTTCTTGCTTTAAGCTTAAATCTATTACAATTTAAAGAGATTTATGCTTAAAGCAGCACTTAGCGGGTACGCATACACACAAGGCCCCTGTTAAAAAAGTTAAAAAAGCCCTTTTGAAGTAGGATGTGAGGCATTACGCGTGACACTATACATGCAGCACACACACGAAGTTTATAGAGTGTAAAATGAGCCGAGGTTCAGGCCGTAATCTCTTCACTGTGCTGCTACAGAACCATGTCACTGCCTGGCACGCGGTAAAACACTGCAGTTTTAACGACGGAGACCCTGGGAATAACAGAGAGATGGTGAGAGATCGTAAGATGTTGTAGTCTTTAGGGGAATGCAGGAGGGAGAGAAGTTGGGGTATGCACCGGAGCGCAGACATGCTTTAAGTAACATGTACGCCGCTTTGGGGGTCAAAGGTCGTGGAAACAATGTTATCCTGCTGGAGAGTGCCAGAGAGACCGACCGACGTGTGTGCACAAGTGTGCCTCTCAGTCTGGAGAGGTCCTCTGGGATTTTTAACTCCTCAACTCCATTCATTCCTTTCTCCATATGAAGAACAGATTCGATTACGTCTGTCTGTTCAATGTTCATTGTTAGCATAAAGCGTACAGAGTAAGACTGGTCAATGTGGTGATATTTTCAGGTTGGTTGAAATTTAGATTTGATACACCAAAAAAACTAGTGATAAATTATGAATTGTTTCTTTACAAAATCAAATGTTTTACAATAAAAAACTGAAATAAATTAGATCAACTTTCATTCATGTAAGAAAAGCGGCTAAACTTTCGCACAAACTTTTTTCTCTCTAAACATAAAAAAAGCATCTCAGGACGCATTGGCATTATTATTTATATTCATCATTACTATTAATAATATTATGTATATTCAAAATTTGAAAACTATTGCAAGATGCATTGATTATTACTTAATACTTATTATTATTATTAATATAAATTTTTATTTGTCAATAATGTATTTATTATTTTTGGAATCTTGTTTCCGCGACGGAATAATTTTTTTTTTTATTATTTTTTTATTTTTTTTACGGATAATTGCGACTTTTTATCTAAAAATTCTGACGTTTTTTTCTTGCAATTGCGAGTTTATATCCCGTTATATGCGTGATATACACTTGCAATTACCAGAAAAAAAGTCCGAATTGGGGGATATATTATAAACTCACATTATTTATATTACGCCAATTCTGACTTTATGTCTTGCAATTGTGAGTTTATATCACGCAATTCTGAGAAAATGTAAACTTGCAATAGAGAGAAAAAAAATTTTAATTGTGAGATAAAGTCAAAATTACCTTTATTTTTTGTGGCGGAAATTTGTATAATAAAAATTAAATAAATAAAATAAAGATAATAAAATATTGGTGTAGGTGTATCCGAACTAATGATTGGTACAGTCAGAAACACCTGCTCTATTCTCCCTGACGCTTTATTTCTTGTAGATCGTTGCATCATTTTTTTTTTACTTCATATTTTGTCTCTTTCCTCTAGTTTTTTCCCCTACTTAACCTCCGCCTCAACCCCGAGTGCCCCTCCTCAGTTTTGTATATGCATTTTTCATTCCCTCTCTCCCTGGCAGTGGGAGCCGAAAAACTCCCGTTTAGTGAAAATCTACAAAGGCGGTAGATTTTTTTTTTGCCAGAACTGGGCTGTAGAAGTAAACCTGAAGAAGATAAACATCATGATATTCCAAACAAGCCTAGACGTCAGGGACACAGATACCAGTTCCAAGAATCCAGTTCCAGGTGGCCAAACCATATATAACCACATATATATATATATATATATCGCACAACGCAGCACATGTACTGAAGCTGAACCATTACCACACTGGGAAGTACACAACCGTCCAGTTATTGCATCATTTGTATATTCAAAAGACACCCATGCATTTACATTATCAGTATTATTTAGTATTTCTTTTAGCTAAATTCCATAAAACAAGATGAATTTACTTGATAAGCAAAATTGTGTAAGATAATAATGAAGTATATCTTGAATATGGTTTATTTATGGTCCAGTTTTAACCACAACATTTAAGGAGTCGAGGTTTGTGTGTAGAACAAGAAAACAAATCCTAATGGTTTGAGAAAAATAAACATAATTCAAGATAAATTATTTGAATACACACATATACAATGTTAAGTAGCACAACTGTTTTCAACATTGATAATAATAATAAGCAGCAAATCAGCATATTAGAATGATTTCTGAAGGATCATGTGACACTGAAGACTGGAGTAATGATGCTGAAAATTCACAGGAATAAATTACATTTTAAAATACATTAAAATAGAAAACATTCATTTTAAAGTCCAGTAATATTTCACAACCTTACTGTTTTAACTGTATTTTCTGATTAAATAAATGCAGTCTTGGTGAGCATAAGAGAGACTTCTTTCAAATACTGTACATCAATTGTAATGTTCCAAAAATATTTTTGACAGGTACTGTAGATTTGGATTAAAAAGACAAAGTCTTAAACTATTTTGCTTCTCAAGGACAAAATCTATAAATCTTGTTTTAAGGATGTTTAAACATTTTCAACAAGGTTTCACAAATTGAAAATGTGAAAAAGATATAGTTAATAATGGGGTAAGATCTGAATTAGAGCAATGAACGCAATTCTTAAGAGACAGATCAGGAAGAAAGAGTTATTTAATGGTGTGTCCACACTTGTAGTTCGGTTCTCCTGGTTCTTTTGGTATGGACCAGAAAATAAATACGTTTAGCCCTGGTTCGCTTAGCGTTCACACTGTCATATTTAAGACCAAAGAGCCAAAAAATCTGCTTTTATGATGTATATTTTGCGACTGGACTTACCGAACATCCAGAACAATGCGGTGTGCAGAGCTAAATACGCTTGTTGTATATTCATACATATGATGGTATTTTCACCAGCTGAGAACTCAGAAACGCTTATAAATTGTGAAAAGGAGTCAAAACACCAGCAGGAATTCCTCTGTTGCACAAAAACGAAAATCTGCTG